ATAAATATGAAAAGAAAAATAAAACACATACAAAGCAGAACACAGCTAAATGTATCAAAAGTACGTCTATGTAATATTAGAATTTTCTGAGACAATGAATTTTGTTTTTTCATTTTTTTTTCCAGTAAGAGGTTTTTATTTAATAGAATGTTTGGACCAAAAATATCGCAATATATGGCCTTGTTTATAGTATTGAAATATATCGGGATATATCGTATCGTGACCCCTCTGTCATGATATGTATCGTATCGCCAAATTCTTGCCAATACACAGCCCTAATCAAAACTCCAACCGTCCTGACCCATCCAACCCCAGTCTCCATGGCCACGGCCAGATGTTGTACAGACCCAGCCCCCTCCTCCTCCCCATCACCACCACTTCACATGCAAGCCTCGCCCGAGGGTGGGGGGGAGTAAAGAGGGGCATCTGTTCCCATTTCCCCCTGCGGCTGCTGAAAATATCCAAAGAGAAACAAAAAGCCAGGCTGCACAAAGACAGTGCCGGGTGGGGGGCGTTCAGCAAACTGCAGATTCAATCACAGCTCTGTGCCCCCCCATAATGAGTCCTCAGGTGCTGATAATTTGACAGAGATTTGTGCACGCCCCTGACGTTTTTCACAGCAAATAAACTGAAAGTGTTCAGAGGACCGCTATGGAGAAGATGAATCCTGTTCTGCAGTTTATTCCCTAATAAAACCAACCCCTGCTGTGGGGAGTCATTAAGAGCCCCCCACCTGGACTTTAATTACACTACAACCAATTAAAGTGAAATTATCTACCTCATGCATGTCCTGTTAACAAGACAAGGCCACTACAGGCAGAATTATGGGCAAAATAAATACATAAAGCAACATTTATACACTGAACCCTTTCTGAGAAAGGAGGAAACCGGGTCAGATTCACTTAAAAACAGCCTTATCCTAATAATAATCACTGTCAAACTGGACAAAATAAGAATAATAAATCTCTTGTTTTACTTTAAAAAATACAAAAAGTTTCATTTATCAGCAGAAATGTCACCACAAGGCGTCCATATGAGCTACACACAGCCCGGGCTCACAGTAACAACAGAAGTAGGTCAGTTTTTATTGTGTCTCCAAACCTGCTGAGAAAAGTTTAAATCAGTAATTTTATGCTAATTAGCGTCCGTTAGCTCCGCTAACCTTACCTTCACATCCGGGAGCAACTGCCTCACTTTGAACGTGCTTTTGGATCCTGTCAACATCTCCGAGGACGATTAAAAACAGCAAGAAAGAAGCGAAGCAAAGCTCACTCAGTGGAAATGTAAAATAAATAAATATTAAGCTAACGGTCGCGAGGTTTAGTTAGCATCCTCATCCTCTGTTTTTACCCCCTTTTCTCTGTTTTGACGGTCGCCCGCCGTTAAATGGACGTCCAGCCCGTGTCACCGGCTCCTCCAGCTGAGGTTTTCAGTGAGGACCAGAAAACTATGTTGGTTCTTCTCATCGCTTTTCCGCTCTGAGAACATCCACGTCCCGACCGCACACAGAAACACCCCCCACCCCGAGCACCGGTCACCAGCCCCGGCTTACAAACTGCTGTTAGTCACTGACGGAGAGATGCGTTCACGGCCGCTCTGACCGTCATCTCGCTCTGTTTGTTTATTCCTTCGCCATAGTGAAACACTCAGTGGTGGAAAAAAAAAAAAAGGGGGGGGGTAACCACAGCTTCTTAAAGAGACAGTACATATAAACTGTTAAACCAGGAGTCTGTCACAGGAATCCACGCTCAAAGCTGAAATAGAAATTATAATCTTTCAGATCATTCCTCTCCTATTTTTTCCAGAGTACCTTGAACTCATCACTTTTTACCACAGAAGTCGGAGCGCAAATTACACTTTGTACGGAAGCCCTGAAGTGCCAGTGTTTGAATTGGCAACATGATTTTCTTGAACCCACTGGATACAAAAAATATTAACCAATCAGAGATCCTTTCTTAATAATAATGTAAAGCGTAAACTTTTAACAGCTATGTGGGAAGAGGACACCATTTGAGGTAATAGTTTTGTTTTTTTACACCCCAGTCCAGGACTTAGGCTATTCTGATTTAGCTTTATCAGTGTGCATTGCCAATGCAATGCACACTATTGTGATTCGTTGCCCATCCAAGTCATCTCAACTTTGCCATGCTTCTCCTCCTGCATACTTTGTCCTAGAGCTGCCATTGTAATTTATATCTGTAAAGCCCCTGTGCCAAATGATGGCTATGCCTTTTGGTGCCTGTAGAACTTGTAGTTTTTGAAATATTAATGTTTCATAAATTATAATGACAGTCAATGGAGCCTTGTATTGGTCCAATACTGCCCCCTGCAGCATCTACACAATATGGT